GTCGTAAAAATAATAAGTATTGTAAGTGTGCTAGACATTTCAAATTTGCTGAAACAATTACAAGCAAACAAAACTTTACTAGTGTTAAGAAACTTCACGATGTGTAGCAAATGATTTGAAGATACATGTTTTTAGACCGCTTGGCTCATTATTTCAAAATTTAAATCTGAAAAATACCTAAATGTCTAAAAGTTAAGTTGGAGGAAAATGTAAAAACTCGAACGTAAGCTATGTATTTATATATAAATATTTCTGCACACTATTACATCACATGAATCACTAGATGTTTGCTAACACGTACGAACCTTATACACATTTTGTACTAATTGCACTATATTTGCAGGTGGATAAATTTAGCGTTAGTCAAAATACTGCTGAGCTCAAGTGCAAAGCATCTGTTATTCAACACGTTTAAATATCATAAGAACGTTGCCGAAATACACAAGCCGAAGTAAGGATTTATGTCTAAAATAATAGCTCATTTATTTCCACAGTGAAAAGTAAGTTTTATTAAGAATGAAAATATAATACATAATATGTTTCAATAGAACTCTGCATCAGTTGCATACTGACTGCTGATTTGCCTGCAGACGTACTTATATTTATTATTTCATAGTAATAGGCTTGCCTAACGGTAAACTTATTTCGTAAGTTTGCCGTTAAATATGAATTATTTAAAATATGGAATATTTTAATCATATTGTACATAATAGAAAATTTACATCTTTAGAAACCTAGGGACAGCCTATATTTCGAAAGGACTTTTTAGCAGCTTCTTGTTGGAGTGTCCCATGTCTGCATTATACTGAAGACGTATTTTAAGTAGATAGCAAAGGATAGCCATATTAGTGTTGCAAAGTACATGCCGAAAAATTCAACGCAACTTCAAGTTTCTTTGTTTGACTATTGACAGTACTTACTTCGTCTTATTATCGCTAACTAATAAAGCTACATAAACACAGTAGCTAAGAGTATTTATGTTTGAACGTTTGCACACCTACACTTATCAAAATATAACTGACACTACACTACCCCTATCATAACTATCCGTTGATCCGCAAATTGGCAGTATGTACACTTTTATTATTTATTATTAGAAGTAGAATTTAAATCGCTGAAACGAGCACAATGATACGCAGGCTTCTCTCGCGAGAAGACCGCGCACAAAAAGACGTTAGACAAAAGTAACTGTGATAGATGTTGCAAAACCACAGAGTAAACAGCAGAAGGTTTTAGACCACCTCTCGCCATTTTGTAACGGTCTGTGCTATCTACAACGGTATTTCAGTTATTAAACTTTTACCGTGTTTAATATATAAAAGTCGACCTGTCTATGTCACCTTAAAAATTAAATAAAATATACAGCGTTGAAATGCCATATTTTGCTTAATAAGATAGCATATTAAATTGTGATTTAGAATAAAGTTTTCAGTTATTGTGTTTAACTAGATGGTCAGTTAACGCCGATCAAGTATATACACAGCCCTAGACTTGATGACAGACCCTGTCATGCTAATAATGGCTCCTCAAATTAGTTCGAGGAGAGACACAGCTCAGCAAAAGCCCTGAGAGGGCTTTCCTACAGTTCTCTTTAGAGATGATTGATTTTGCCCTTCTTTTTTACTCTAACGAGGACCTTGTTGCAGGAAACTCCCTTTTAATAAACGTTTGTATAGCTTCGGATTACTCACTAGCAACCTTCGATTGTGACGAATCCATTGATACCGAAGCCGCGCTGAACTGCCGGAGATCCTTATCGATTGTCTTTGGCCCTGTAGTTATTGCCAACTCATATGAGAATTTCTCAGTGTTACGTACCTCTTTAAGATCGTGGACTATTCTATGAGTGCACACCTAATACATTGAAATCTTTAAAATTTTTAGGACTCCGCTTTGATTCATTTAATAAGTACAAACAACAGAATAAACAAGTAGATCGCTCACCAAACACGCTTGCAACAACCTTATATATTTACTGCCCTAGAAATCCTATTTTCACTGCTTCATCAAGGATTTCATTTTTAGTGGCCAATCCTTATTCTTTTACCATATTTTCTCTACAGCTAAGGTTCCAATTTCTAAATGGACTAATAGCGGCTGAAAGTGATTTACTATACTTAACCTATACACGTATAACGCATATTGTACCTCCTGACTAAAAAAGTGCCTCAAGTTTAATGCTTGCTATTATACCATAAAGGCTACCTCAAACATAAGTTTTAGAATCAACTCCATTGGTCAATGGAGTAACAAATATCCCTTCGCCTGAGACTATTTTTATCTTGCGCCTCATTAACAGTTGCGAGCAACACCCACAGGAGACGTCGTCGTTAGGTAGTTAAGTGTATTATAATTAATTTAGAGACTAACAAACGACCTTGGGAGCAATCCTTGAAGAGCAAATCCCTTTCAAGGATAGTGTACCCATCCTGCTTGCCATTGACATCCCGGCACTTCTCTCTGTACTCGATTGTTTCAACGTCAGAAAAACGAGCGACTGACGCCGCCGATGCCGAAAAGCGCCAGGCTATCGTACCTCGGCACGGCTCGAACAGAGCAGAACAAAATTGATTTTTAATATCCGCTTGGTGTGAGCTTGAAGCCTAGAAAAATTAGGCCCCTGCATTGACTGAATGACTGCTTTTGCGTCTGTACCTCTTTACCTCATAGGCCAGCCGAACCAGCACACAGTTAATGTACCCGAACAGTACGATCGTCAGTGTATGTCGTTGTCATTTAGAAACCGAAATATGAGACCAAATAATAATAGCACGAGGCAGAAGAAGAACATACAGTTCAACATGTTTGAAGCATCATAAACCCTGTCTCAAACTCTACTATTAATTAGAATTTTAATAACTGTAGAGTAGAACGCGACACGCAAAACCAAGAATAGCATTCCACAATTTGCTTTTACCCTTTGTAGTCGCCCGGTGTTTGATTTCTAGCTTCCACTATATGCTTATTATCTTCTTTAGTTTTGGTTTTATTTGCAGCTTTGTCATTGCGATACCAAACAAACGCACCTCTTTTTGTTCTGTGTATAACACAATATACAAGGAGACACCTTGCCCAGTGTTAAACTGCTACCATTCTTAAACATAAAACATATTACGATTCCAATGGCTACAATACCCTGAGACAACTGTTATGTCGACCTTTAAACATTAAGGTTGACATAATAGTCGTCTACTCAAATATAGGCGTTTCCTTTAACCTACTTTTGCTATATACTTTATCTAAAACCGTTGAATTTTTAGTCAATATCTTGCTTAGGTAGGTAAGAGGACAACAATAAAAAGCGATTTTCAGTAAATTGGATAGCTCTTCTACAGTACATACATAACATTATTTATGGAATATGAAGAGAGTTAGGCGTTCAATGTATCTGCACATGTACTTGAATGTTTGTCTTAGGTCCTCGCCCATTAAAATAATCTAAGCGATAATCTGTATTATACACCCACTTGTATTTCATGTAAATGCACCTACCACATCAATACCTCATCTTTTAAAGAACGAACATCACATTATCTAATCTTGGATTTTAGATCAGATATACAAGGATATCATGACAGATATCAGGACAGATAAAACTAGCGGATAGATTTCGTTGTGCATGTTGATATATCATCTTCATTGATTTTTCTCTTTTAATATGATCTTGATACCACTTTATTGCGTCGAACGACTAGTCATTACGATTCATACACGTGCACAAAACTCTACGTTATTCATCAACTAATGAAACAAAAGACAAGGACTTTCTTTAATTTGTAATACCATCCCTCATAGCTTAAGGTTGACTGAAGAGCTTAATCCGTATTCGATTCCCAGTTTGCTTCTACTCTATTTAAACTACACTGTGTAAGTAAAAACATCGAATAGGTAGCTAATAATGTAATAAATAACGTTGTAATTCGGAAAAAAATATCTCGAGAACGATTTATATGTTATTTCTGATTTCATGGTTATGGTAACATTGTAGTTCAAGTATTGTGACCTTTCTAATTGTCAAGAGACTTTGGCCTACCCTATTTAATAAATTTGACACACATTCGCTAAGAGGATCGGGTTAGCTGGAAAAGGGATTTACACGGAGCCAATTGCTCATATATTACATTGTGCTAATTGGATAAATATACATTGAGACCTAATTGGATAAATTAAACGCTTACAGATTATATGCTGTCGATCGATTTGCTGCCCAGATATTATTTATTTGGTTCAGTGAGTTTTGCGTCGACACAACACCTTTGCTAAGATCCCTCTTATTATCGACACAAATTCTTTACCAGTTCGATACTCGGTTTCTGCCTTGGAGGCTAATGCTAACGTAGTAATATATTATCGGTAATGTACCCTGTAAGGCGGCTTCCTGTGTCGGACAATGAAATATCTAGCATTATAATACTAAAAATACTTTTTCATACAGGAAACAGCAGAATCATGTTAACCATCAAACGCGCAACGACTGCATTCATAATTTACAATATGAGTACAGTCGTTGCGCGTTTCTGGGGTCCTGGATAGGGGCTGCAACGTATCCGTGATGCAAATAGTTGAAGTTTAAGCTGCCGTGGCAAAAGCTCAGCGTGATTCACATGTATTGATAGGGTTTATTAAGACATGTTGGCCTAATTTTATCTGACGCGAAAGTTAATGCTGGTACCAGGCTTGAGATTCGAAACATTTGTTTTTCTAACTCTAACGTACCTGTGATAATGTAGTAACATGCCTGCCTGTTAAACTTGGAAACACGAAATGGTCGAAGATCGAAGTTTGGTTTTCACTACATCGCTACTTCCTCAGTATAAAGGGTTGAGGGAAATGTAGCCATGTGTTCCAGACAGTCCGTCAGTATATTCGCCGTACTTTCGCAAATAAAATCGAAATTAGCCTAAGTGCACTTCGTTTCGTTCTAGGGGTAAGCCATTCAAAACAATGCTTAACGGCAATGCCAATGGTAAAACTCGAACCATTCAGACTGACATTTTTACCTTGGTAGCACTTCAACGGAACTATATGCATTCAAACGTCGAACAGTTAGTAGTGCAGCGCATACATTTTCCCAGGAGTCATACGGCTATGTAACCGGCGGATCCTCCGAACTAACCGCTCATTTGCCTCGTTAGAGAGAATTCGTTTATCACTTGAGTCTCGTCTCGTTTTAATCTAGTGAAAAACAGTGCAGAAAACAGTACTGTTGATTAGAACATAAACTCCATGCAGCGCAAGCCAAATTTGGACCAGTTCAGCTTTACGACGTCGCGCTTGTCTGCCGAGATTGTACCTATCGTATAAGCACAGAATTCTAGCCCTTATCCCCTATATTAAGGCGAAATCCTGTTTACTCCGAAAATCGAGCAATGATAAAAGTCAAATTCTTTTTATTTTTCAATACCAAACTTTTACTTTTCTATAATATACTATGTAATTTAACACAACTGGCAAGAATCAATTTGAAAACAAACCTCATATAATTAAAGTATGTTAATGTGTGCGTGTTTAACGGGAAGTTGACACAGCTAAGGTAACTTTACAAAGGTCTTAGTTAGCTAAATGTTCTACCTTTAGTAGTGACATTAGATGTCGCTTAGGATGTCGACTGACCTTAGTACAAGACGAAGTGTGTATACACCGGTACTGCCTTACGTCTTTTTACGTCTGATAGGTGGTGCGGTTATTACGGCACCACCACAAGTATCCGACAATGTTCCCTACAATACACTCACCATGTTAGCATACTTGTAATACCTTCGTAAATAATTTTTTTAACATTAGGAGAACGGATGCGTTGCGGAGCTTTACGACATAAGAGAGACTACTCAGAACACGAAAACTACGCAAAATAAATGTGAGTAACTAATATGAATAACAAAATAAATATGAATAATAGTAAAATATGAAAACATGATAAACTTGGAAATTACCTGCAATATTCAGTAATTTGTGCAAGTTCAAAGGACTGAAAACTGGCTAAAAAACATGAAAATTTTTAATAGTTCCTATACATCGCTTATAAATTAAAGACAAGGGTTCTAATTCAAATTGTGTTCTATTTTTGAGCTGCAACTCGGCGTAGCTACAGCTCTCACAACAGTTAATTAATTTAGGTAAATCAACAGGATTGCATAAAAAAGCCTATTTCATACTGGACTCCTGCGCTTAAGTTTTTCTTGCTGATTCGAAATGGTCTTAACTACGTTTGTTCTACAAAAATTCTTTACTGATTCCGTAATTAGCCTCAGTACGCCATTGATTCTTTACCAGTTAAGGCCTATATACAAGAAACTAATGAGGAGCTACACTGATAGTGTCGTTCAGTTGCTGTTATTGTTGTGGTGGAGATTTAGCATTCAGGGGAGACTTTAGACGGCGGGAGTTAAGCACCTAATTCATTAGCTTTCTCTGATTGCATGCAATGAAGCATAGAGAACTATGCCCTCTTAACTACTTTTCTGAATGATGAATGTGCGAAGTATTACAACTTCTCTTTGTCGACTGCTAGGCGAAAAAACGTGGAACCGAAAGATAACAAGCTTTAAAGGCAGCCATGTTTGTTTGCGGGAGGCCTGTTTCCCCCACGCAAGGAGGAATGAGGAAAGGCGTAACTTGTTTGACGTTGAGTTTGTTGCAGTCCGGGAATCCATTTGTTTCAAGGCTGTTGTTGGCCGGAGCGGTTAAGCAAGGCGAAGGTGTCGTGTCAACGGCCTCGGGACTAGGTCAGTTGCTTCCACCATAGTGCTGTGTCGGGCGTAGCATTAGAGCAAACTGTTGTATATGCTTAGCGTGTCTCGAGTCAAGCATCCCGTAACGTAATTATCATCTAACACTGCGAAATGGGTGGCTGCTACTTTTCTTATTTCTAAAGCTACCGCCGACAGGGCGCAAAGTTATAGGCAACGATTACCATTGGAAAGGCTTCTACTGGAAAGCATCGCATCGCATCGTATCACGTTGTATTTCGAAACTTGAAATTGCCCTGTGCTCAACTAGATTCTGTTATCTCTGTTGAGTTTTTTCACGTGCCGTTACAGTAAGCAGATTATTTCGGAGTAGTAGGGACATGGTTTATCCCCGTAGTAAATTCTTTGCCTGTTAAATTTAAAAACACGTAGTGATCTATGCTCGAAACCGAGCGTTGAAACACTTCGTTTCGCGATAGAATTAGCCAGTTGTATGAAGCAATGATTAACGATAATGTCAGACGTAAATGTTGAAATGTCTATTAATTTAGGGATATGATTTGTCTGTGATGCATGACTTATTGTAGTCGTTGAAACTGTGCCTATCGATAAGCTTGTAAAATCTGCATGTATGCATATTGAACCAGCTTTACGTTTACTATCACCATAGCTTAGAAACTTTTTGCGTGGGGCGTATAACTGTGAGAACACCTCTTCCTTAAATGTGTAACTGGAACCTAGAACTAACCTAATTTATCGACTAACTATATAAGATATATTGAAGTATATGCCCTTTGAACAACCTAAGGGATACCACGTTGAGCATATAGAACAAAGGCGTCAAGCCGTATCTTATTTTCCTTATTTGATCACATCTAGGATAGCTGGTATGGTAAACTCTAGCTTAAAGTTTAACTGTTGGTGTAAAAAATGCGCGTTATGGACGTTATCTCGATGCGACTAGATGTTAATTAAAATACATAGCAACGACGCAATTAATTTTTCTTAATTTACCATGTTGCATGGCACACGTTGACCTTCTAGAGCAGAAATTTGCATAAATATGTAGAGCGGGGCGTTGTTGTATTGGCATTACTTGGGAACGTTTCCCATGGAAACGACACATGAACCAGGTGGAAATATAAACATAAGTTTTTGCATTTCCATAAGAATAATTCTTCTCATTATTATCGTATCATCACCACGAAAATTGTCAAATCTAGTCTATCAAGATCTTACTCAGTGCTCGTAATTTTGGAGCCTCAAAGAAGCATCCTTCTGCCTATTCTTTTAGCAAGTTTGCACTTGGTATCATCTTTTCATAACACCGACCGAGTTAAACTTAAACTAAAGTTAAAGTTTTTAACCAATGACGTTCTAGAATGCCTACATATTTGAATCTTTATTTGTAGTCATAGTACACCGTCAGTGTATTTGAACTTTTGGCTATCAGTCGCTGTTGGTTTGATTAGATGGGATGTTTGCGAGTATCTTTCGCCATATTTGCAAAACTATTGTATTTTGGAAACTTAAAAATGTTACTTTCGCCAAAGTAATTTCTCCGAGCTTTGTATGCAATGGTGTCACCTAGAGTCGAATCAATGATGAAACCGTAAATGCAGCCTGTATATGATATCATCACATGATGAATAGCATTGACACAGTTAGTTTTAGTCTCCAAATTACTTATTTCGCACAAATGTAGTACTGAATTTATCACACAAAGGTTATAATGATTTAGTAATAGATAATGACATGTGTAAACGACGCAGCTTTATAAACTCGTTCTTTCTACAGTATTTATATGTCCATTGTGTGTGATCCCCTATTAGTTTGCTAAGGTCAGGTCTGTAGGTATGTTTGTAAAAATCCTGTTTAAGGGCTCGAAAAGTCTTGTGAATAAATTAACGAATTTTAATTACTGCGTTATCATTCGCTTTGTTCTCACTTTATCATCATTAATTGTCCAGTCATTAATTATGTAGCCTTCTATCCGTACGTTTATTCTCAAATCCGGCCGAACTGTTGGCTGTATAACTTGAATCAACTAAAGCTTCCTTGGTCCATGTTAAGTGGTTCCTGAGGTTCTCCCCCCCGCCCCCTCTATGAGTATCGCATGGACCTAGCTGGTGTACCTATTTCCGTCACAAGAAGTATCACGCGCCGATGCCTGAATACAAATAGTGTCGCTATTTGCAAGGGTATTGAACAAGTGCCTCAACAGACATCAACCCAGCAAACCGAATTCGGCAGTAATCAGGGGCCCTCTAACGCTGACTAACGATACCTACCTATGCTTGCTTAACAGGCGGTACCCGTTTTCACAGCATCGCATGCAGTTTGTAACGGTCTCGGATCCCGTTAGCCCATCTCTCTTTCGGAGCCCTTCCTCGCACACGTGCATGGGGTATAGAGGACAGAAGGAGGTTATCCCGAGTGGCTAGATAGTTTTGGCCCCACTACAGACTACGCCTACTGCCGCTTCAGTCTGCATATTTGTGTTGTGCGACGATAGCGGCTCAGAAGGAGGTACTACTTCTGCCTGTTTTACCGCGTAGCTAGTGGCGTTGATCTGCATACACTGATTACCTCCGACTCTTTTGGGACGATTCATGCGTCCAGTGGCGCAAGCCCCTCCGTTTGCATATGTGTTTCTGCATGCTTATATCTATCTATCTGTATATATAATAGATATACGTACGTATATATGCTTAGCCGCACTTGAAAATGCACCTCTATGTAACGCAATCCTCCCGCGTTTCGATTCTTCTCTACGGATTATGTATGCCGGTCTCACTGATGTCACCGACCACTGCGGAGCACTACGTAGGCAGGCATTGTTCGTTGCCTTCAGTTCTGTTCTCCCTTGAAGCAAAAATATAAAGAAGCAACCTGCAGGCCGCTGGACCACCGCTGGCCTCCATTCTTCGCGGCTTGCTTGTCTTTCCCTCCGCCCTTCCTTCCCTAAACGCTCCCGTTTTTCTTTCTCGACTGGAAGCTATTGCATGCAAAGACTACGAGATAGAGCGATCAACCGGCCAACCGATTGACCGACAGTTAATTTCCTCCGCTGGCAACGATTACCATCGGTGCTGCACCCAACTAGGAACAGTCAGCAACAGCACTCATTTGCCCCTGCCGCTGCTACTGCTGCATTTGTATGTAGACTTGGCTCGCACAACGATGCTTTCTGCCTGCCTCCGCCCCTCACCCGTGACCCTCTCAACCAGAATGACAGTTTATCAGTGCCGAAGTTGAACTGGACCGTGATGCAAACAAAGCGCATACATATGTACATATAAGAGGTTACAATTAGTTGCGGTTGTGCTCGAACGATGCAGAAGCATGCACTGTCGTGCAAATTTCTATTCCAGATCATCTGGCATAAGCATGTCCACATGTAGAATCGATGTAGTATACAGTCATTTGAGGAAGATTTTTACTTATCTAATTAGTGTCACCGTTCGTGAGTTAATTTCGCTAGTGATAGGAGTGGATATACGCTGAGAAGTGTTCTTCGAACGATAGTCCACCTTAGCTTGAAATGTGACGAGGTCTGTGCATAAAATCAATCGATTTGTCATCCTTTCAGGTGACTTCCGTGCTGAAATATATATTTGTCCAGTCTAGGACGTAAGCCTAGATTGCAACGCGGAAGTTATGGCATCTTGTTGTATGTCTCGGTTGACTACCTAGCTCATCATTAAATTAAATAGTAAAAAATATGATGTTAAGAATACTTTTATTAGGGGAAGAGATGACGCCGTTTTCCACCTTTTCTGTTACTTGTTCCTGGCGCACAGAGATCGAAATGCGCAGCGGCTGCGGGAAGCAAGATACCGTAAACAGCCTCTCCAAAACGATTGCCTTCCCTAATTCAATTGTTGCCATCGAAGAGTTTTTCAGTTTCATGCGATCTATTTAATAAAATCTTCTGCGGCTCAACAGTTTGTTTCCTGAAACTTCTCACAGCGCTGTTAGACGTCACGGGTAATAAGTTTCGTCAAGTGGATAGTAGGCAGAGCCGATTACAAACAGGTGTTTTTGTTGTCTGTGATATTATCTGGGCGAATTATCTGTGGATGTCATCAGTACTGTGTCGCGAAGGCCAGCCTTCTTTCAGCGCAGCACCAATCGCTACCTTACGCTGTAGTCGGCCCGATGTGCGACGCGGCTCAGTTGCGATGCGTTATCAGAAAAAATATTAGACGCAGCATCTAAATAGATTAAAGGCAAGAACCCCACAAAGTAATAATATTTTAAAAATTAAGTTGATACTAATGCAACCTTCACTAGCGTTACGCTGTCGATTGTACTGAACGATGCTGATGTTGGGAAATTACTTATTCGCTAATCGCCTTTACGCGGTCGAGTGATTCATGCGGTTAACGACAACAATACCTAATAAAGGAATAGCACAAACGGCGTCACATTTGTTAGGCTAAATATAAGAACTAAATGGCATCGCAAATTTCACATTTTTCTTCCACTATAGAAATATAGCTGACATTATTAATATAATATTTTTGTTGTTTTCGGCAGCGATGCAATAGGTTCTGTTGCATAAAAAATAGCTTGACATTCTTTATTTAAAGCCCATGCCATGGCGTGTGTCTGTCGGCGTGATAATGCTTTCGCTATGTAACGCTAAATCTAAGTAGTTTTCAACGAAATGTCAAGCGACGCGTCAACTTGTATCGGTTTCTGTTAGCTTTCAGATTTAGATGTGTACCAGCGACGTATAAAAATAATGAGTTTATTTATTGATTCGCTATCTGTTTATGTTCGATACATCGTTATGCCGCGCCTGATGTGCACCAATAAATATTCTACAATGTCCAGTTACAACTTGGAAATGAAGCTGTTAGTAGAAAGTTCTTGTTACTCGGCTTCTTTCTCTATACGCTGATAAATTATTATATCCGACAATATGGTAATATACGATAATTTTTGTGTTAATCGCAAAAACATTTCTAGTGGTATTATTGGTAATTCCAGTCTTTGTAAGGTGGTGTTACAGCTTTCACTTAGCACAATTACATATATATATATATATATATATATATATATATATATATAAGCGAACTGGTCCCTATTAAAATGAATGGCTTTTATGTATTTAGGGTGCGTTAAACTAGAGGTAGGTTTGTCTGGCCAACGACCAAACTAAAGTCGGCCCGTAACAGCTTGAAGGTAGCGTTGCGCGATGTATGTAATCGCGCGCACTTTCATGACAGAAGTCCTCTTGAACCGAGAACGTGGATCAAAAAGATAGACAGTTATCCAACCAAAAACAATCGCCAGAGAACCACCAAACAGTGCAAAAAGCTAGAACTTACTTCCTAAGGCGCAGTTTTAGTATGGCACGACCGAGGTTGTACAAACCGATATTCAAAATCGGGCTTTTGGGATGGTGTCGCAAACAACGTTGTAGATTAGTGGACCAGTTCAACCTTGTTAATACACGGGGACGAACGTCCAAAAACTTCACGCAGGGCAAGTTGGCATTGCCTAACAAGATCAGATCAAAGCTTGATGCGAAAGTACTCTTAGCAAAGACGGACGGTGAAGCCTACCACTTTTGCCAGTTTTATATCTGCTGCATGAGCGAATTCGTAAGCAGAATCTATCTGTCTAGTACAGGACTACTTACCGGAACGAACCTATATATTAAGAAATTTGACTCTAGGCCTGATAAGTATATGGAATGGACTCTTAATATATCAAAGACTCACAGTGCACCCAAAAACCATTTCCGGCTGTCTCTTTAACCCTAACAAATTCCAGCTCTGTGTTGTTTGTACAGTCTGAGAACAAGATGTGTGTGCAATTTACAAACGGGAACCTTTGTCAGGACGTCACTCCCGCGGCGATGATCACGTAGCGGGTTCTGGGTCGCCAATAGAAAGCACGTTCAGAAAAAGTTGAAAAGCCAACCGAGTGATGCACTTAAAGGGTACGGTTTCTCATTTTGGAGCGCAGGATTAGGTCTAGTGCTTCCGCTGTAGGTTAAACTGTTGGTGTTGTCAAGCTTTTATAAAACTGTCTGGAACCAAGCTATTTGTGAATTGCGGTATTATACGGAGAAAGAATCCAACTTCGATCTCGATAACACTTCGGCAATTGCGGCTTTTATTAGGAAGCTACATTCAACAATAAACAGGGCGCTCGTAGAGTTAGCTATACGAGCACTGCGATAAGGTAAGCGTGGATTGTGTAAGGAATGAACTTCCAAAATCCTAATATGCAACATGTGAGTTTGTTCCAGAAAGACCCGTCGCCTACTCAGAAGTCCAAGGGCAGTTCTGCAGAGGAATTTGGTTAAACTGCGTTGTCTACATCAATATCTTGGACAGCCTCGACCAAGTCGGCGTTAACCTAAATAGCAGGACGGTGGCCACGGGTGTTGCGCTCGGTAGTATTGGCCAGGTGGAATGAACAACGATGAAATTATAATCGGCAAGTTACTATGCATACAGACATACACGTGTCCGCGAATACAGGTAACTGGTTGAAGCTTTAAAACTCTCATTTTGATGGTGAACAGCTCTCGCGTTTGATAGAAAAATAAATCTGTTAGTTCAAAATTGCTTAAAATGTGCGAAATTATGCAGAGAGATTAAGGTGAAACGATAATTGAGGCTTTAGCTTTTTCCATTGCGTTGTGGCATCCACACTGAGCCTACCATCATCGGTATGATAAGCCCTCAGATGATTAATGCTATTCAAAATGTTGAGAATATGCTGGTACTTGTATTATTCTGGGACAAAACCCCTAGTGATCTCATAATTCAGGCGTAAATTCTCTTTTTCCTATGATGTTGGCGACAACGGTAGAATTATAGTGTAGTGATAAATACATTAAATACCTGATAGTCCAAATTCAAGTTCGTTGTTTTACTACAAGTTTTATTATAAACCCACTGACTGACTATTCTGTAAGTTGTACGTCTTCTATACGATTACATATGCTCTATTAGCATTTATCCTTTATATTATCGATAAAAAACCTATTCTCTTAAATGATACGATAATCAGCTAGATTAGTTTGCATGTGAGAAATGTTCGTCATTGAAGAAGGTTGTCCAGGAGATGTGTGGGAGCAATACTTAAGATGTAATGACAATGTCTTCAGCTTAAATCGTGCGAAACACGATCTAAAAAGCTAACCTGAACATTTATTTCGTCGCTAATTCAAGCCTTATCGACGACATATATAATGCGACTAGTGTGATAGAATAAAGAAAGAAACAAGATTAACGTTGAAGTTGTCAACATTCGAAAGAACCTATAAAATCAATTACTTAATTTTTGACGAACTATTATTATCTGGCTGAACCTATCTTGAGATTATTACTAGACTTTACCTGTGAGCTTTTTCCCGTGTTCGTTTAGGGATTCTAGCGGAGCTTACCAAAGCGTGTCTGCTATAATATCCTACTGTAGGATGAAGCGCCAGAAGATACCTCTCTTAAAGAGGCAGCTCCGGAACACCTGACGTTATTAACACGCACACATCGAGTTTGAATAGTATAATAGATATATAATGTATAGGTGTTATTCACTGCATTGGAAGTGAAATGTTAAGAACAACGTTAGTTCAATGTAATGTGTAGTGTTCCTGGGTAACTCGTATAGCCGTCGCAAGGCATTTTCGCTTGCTTGCCCGTCCTTGATGTGATTAATAGCGGTCGAACCGCCCCTCCATATTATGACTTATAATATTTTAGCTTATTTTAATTATTAAGTTTTTCACTACCGCACTTAGTACTTAGGTTGACAACAGGACGGCCAGTTTTCACTAAGCGGTAGAAAATACTTCTGGCAGCGT